TGGGGAATTCTGGGAGTTGAAGTCCACACATTTTCAAGCTGCCAAGGTTGAGAAACACTGCAGTAGGGTAATGTAGAATTTGGATTCATTTCCAAAAAGACGCTTCAGAGTGCACAGGGGCATAAATCTAGCATCTGCCTGCAACTCTTTAAAAGCAACTGTGTCTTTCTATGGGGCTGTCCTCCAAAGCTGCTACATGATCCCAGGCAACAATGTGGGTGCGTTGAAGACAGGTGCTATATCTGCACCTTCTGCACTGTAAAGCCTGTTTCTGGTATCAAATCTGAAGCACCACATAGCTGTAAGATACACAAATACAACTTTCAGAAGCTATATATTGGCACACTTTATGCTCAGTGCAGAAGCAGAAGGTAGGAATGGGAAAGAGAAATTCAACATGGCATGTAAGGCTTTTCACTATTAGCAGAAGATTCCTGTGGGGCACAATACAATGATGCCTTTCTTCTCCCCCATAATTCTTCTCCCTGAATGTCTAAACTATTAAGGAAGCTTCTAAGAGACAGATGGGATAAAGTGTCATGCGGAGCAAAGAGCAGCACATCATGCCATATCTAAAGGGAATTCAAGTGCTCCTTCCACAGTCCACTCACCAAGTTGGTGCTTCCTTGCTTTTCACTATCTGGGAACATCTTCTGCAGACTCAGGAAGGTCAGTAAGCCAATGATCACCCAGAGCCCCAGAAGCTTCTGCTGTTGGAAGCTCTGCCCTTCTCCTTGTAAGGGTGGGGAGAAGAAGTAGAGCAATCAGTTCCTACTGTACGCCTAAAAATCATGGGTCCACAGGATGATTCTTCCCAGCTCTAAGCATCCCCAAGCAAAGTGATCCTGTAGAGGGCATGTTTCCTTACTTTACTGTCACAAAAAATAAGCTGGATACCAGAGGAGGAACAAAATCCAGGGTTCCGACACCCCAGGTAACTAATAATGAAACCTAAAATACTTGCTATTATTCCTGCAACATAAAATACTCTCTTCTCACTATGTTACTGCCTAGAAGATTCATCAGAGAGTGCCTTGGTTTAGGTCAAGAAAAAATAAAATACTTGGCACTCAAGATTTGGGTAAGAAATGTATCTATTGTAACGTACAAATGAATTACTGCTGAATTTACAATCATTTGTGGCTGCAAGAATTGTCACGAACATAAGGCTACATGGATTTGCACCATCAGTGGGTAACCAACTGTCATTAACCATAAGCAGCATGGCCCTGAAGCTGGGAGGAAACCTGCTTCCCCCCTTCCCCATCTGTACGATCAGCTGACCAACAGAAAATGGATTCTGCTATAATTAATGGCAGGAACTAGGCCACCTGGTCCTGGCTGGTCAGTGATCACATGATCAGCTAGCTGGCAATAATCAGATTACTAATTTTCATTAATGCAAATTCTTCCCCTTTGGTCATTAAGCAAAACATCATGTGACTTACAACTTTACTTCTATCTTCTCTATTAACTCTGCTTGTCACAAGCCAATTGCAAAGCACACAAATGGTGGCCATGTGATCGCAGGACACTGCAAGTTGTAAATGTGAGGATTGGTCGCAAAGCTAATTTTTTACAACCTCATAACTTCGACTGGTCACTAAATGAGGCAGTCAGTAAGTGAGGACAACCAGTATGACCTTTCAGGACTGAAAAGTCTGTCCACCCACAACAGTCTGACTGGCAATTCTGATTGTAAGAAGAGGACATACAGTGGTGCCTCTACTTACGAACGCCCCTACTTACGAAATTTTCGAGATACGATCAGCTCCGCCCCCAAAAATTTACCTCTACTTACAACCTCGCCTTGACTTACGAGCCATTTTCCGCCTGTTCCACGTGGTCCGCGGCCATTTTTCCGCCCGTTCCACATGGTCCGCGGCCATTTTTCCGCCCGTTCCACGTGGTCCGCCGGAACGGATCAATGGTAATTACACTGAACT